TACAAAAGGAGAGTGGTGTATATTCCTACTAGCTATGGCAACGCCTGCAGAGGATTGGAAGCTCTTCCATCCAACTGTGGTTAGCTTGAAAGTTACAATAGTTTTCCTCTTCTTGTGCACTACATGAATCTTTTAGAGAGAGGCGAGACAATAAAGGAATTTGTATCACGGAGTCAGTGGCATCCAGAATAACTAGCAGAGATACTGGTGTGCTGTTCAGTGCATGCACTCAACTCCATGGGCATACCAAGAAAATCATAACAAGGTGAGACCTCAGGTATAAAAGAATGAAGTGTCCATATATTGAAATATTTTTTAAACACTTATATGCTAGACTTTGATTAAGAGAAAGAAACACATAGATACTTAAAATGACACAGAGAATTCAGGAAGATAGCAACATGTTGCATGGATGGAAAATTGAATACAACTTTTGAAGAAAGAAAGCCTAGTAAGTATATTAAGCATCTGAGTAACATCACCATAGTGCCTAAGTGGATAAACAGGCTTAGCAAGAGATGGTATGCTTTGCTATAGGTCTGATGTGGGGGAGGCCTGCACATGTGCTGTGGGATTTTTGAGAAAGGCAGTACTGAAATAGTTCATCGTCACGATTGTCAGTGCTGCACTTGTTTTCTGAACTATGGCCAGAGTATGTACATGATACATGATGTAAATATCTGCATATATTACATAAGGTAAATTTCTTATGATGTGGATTATTCAGGAAAAATAATCCTAATTGCTTTCCTTTGAAAATTCAGCATTTTCTGCATCCCAAATTTTGGAGTTTAGCATGGTTTTTGCAGTGAAAGGTGCTGTATGTTACCAATTAATTGCCTTGGTCCTGTGTGAGCCAGCAGGCTCTTGTCTCTGCGTAGAGCCCCACTGTGTTGTTCAAGCTCTGTGTGTGGGCTCTAAACCTCTCAGCTGTCTTTGAAGTAGACATTCTTTTTCATCTGTTTTACATGTGGGAAACTGTTATGTAGGCTGATAATCTGTCTTTGCTCTCTGAAAATTCAGTAAATAATGTCAGACTTGAGAAGCATTCCACATTGTGCTTTTTTTAGCTTTAGAGTATGTTTCGTCTAAGGTAGTCTATTATCATCAAATACAAATTGCATCAGAGACAAAGCTTAGAAAAAGAATTGCTGATCCCCACTGTAGCTGTGAATTTCGTATTGACATTGTCTTTATAGCTCTGCTGCATTATTTCTGTTTTCCCTTTGAATTTTTACTTGTTTGATAGACCAGTCATTCACCTTCATCCTCCTAGTCTTTCATGAAGTACAGTATCACTGCATTGGAAGGTGGTGCAGGCTTCTGCACCCTGAGGTGTTAAGAAAAAGATACTTTATTCCCTTCTTATGTTGGATTATTTTCTGATTTATGCATTTTGCCATATTTTATGCCACAAGGAACAATGTTCACAATGTGGATGTCTCTTTGCTTTGAGGTTTAGCCATCCTTGAAAGCTGTTTACTGGTTCATGTGGTCCCTTGTCATGAACATCTTCTCTTAAATAACTTGGCATCATGACAAATTATTTAAAACCACAAGTAGATATTAGCTGTTTCTTTTAAGTTTTGGGTTTTTTTGCTATATTCAGAGACTCACTTTTTCCTTAGTAGAAGGAAAAAGGTAAAACTTATATAACACCCACTGTTTTTATGTTTTGATTGTAATCCTTGGATGATACACCATGAGCTAGCTAGAAATTTGATCTTTATTGACTCTGCCATCAAAGAGAAAAAAAAAAGATAGGTAAAAACAAAAATAGTAATTGGAAATAGCTCCTGTGGAGCAAAGCTGTCATGAAGCAGATTGATTCAGCAGTGGCAAAGTTGCTTTATTGATTGTAAGTTCTTAGTAAATTAAAAAGAGGAGCAAATGCGTTAATCTTCTGTGTGCGTGTGTGTTTGACAGTGACAATTGAGAATGCTCTGCCAGGATAAAGACACATAGAGGAGTGTGGGAATGTTATCTACTTCAGTCAGTAGCAGGCTTGGCAGAGATAAGAATAGGGTTCTTCAGAAATCCTTCTGGATTGAATGTTCTTTACTGTGCTGTAAACAAAGGACAGAGGAAGTATTCGTGCTTGGTTTTTTAAGCATTCAGGTGCAATTAGTCTAGGTAAAGAAATGAAGCATAGCAATTATAATAATTTTCTTCAGGTGTTCCTTAAATTTTATTCTCTGTCCCAATTGCAATGTCAAATTTGTTGTTAACAGATCAGTGCAAAACCTTAATATAGTCTAGCTTAGGACCTCAATCTGCTTCATAAGCAAAAGTTCAGTTTTGGATTTAGACTTTTGACTTTTTTAATTACTGCTAATTACTTAATGTCATTGCCCATTTGCAAGTAAATTAATAGTTTATTTATATTTTCCTTACCAAATCATCACAGCTTCTCATAAGGATGAAATTCAGTTAGATGGGGAGCAGCTACATAAAGTGACATGATAGTGCAGAAGCTTTCCCTTCCCAGAAAAGCTGAAACAGAGCTGGGATTCTGTTCTGATGAGGACTAGATGTCACCAAGATAGATAAATTCTTGCTTTTCAGCCTCAAATTCCGCACCATCAGAAATGTATTTATTCTTGGGCTAGTGTAGTTGAAATTCAGCCAGGAGAACATGCTCTTCTCTTGTTTATTTTCCTGCCATTGCTGCCTGAAAATCCAGCTGCTGGGGATAGTTTTGTGGCCTTTCATTCCCAAGGTGTCACCTGCCTGTAGAGCACTCTGAACCTCTGTTGTTTTGGATGCACAGTTGTTTACAGGACAGGGTTTGAGGAACATCTCCTGTGAAGAGACTCTGGGGTCACACAGATGGTGGGGGAAAAGGAATTGGAGATGAATGAGGTAAAACAGCAGAGAAGGCAGGGAGCTGGAGATACTGTTGTTTCCCACTACTTCGTATGGAGTCACCAGCCTGGCATGCTGAAGTGAAAGGGAACAAGGTCGTCTTGGGCCCTGGAGGGAGATGGGAACTGGAAATGCTGGGGACCCATTAAAGGTCTCTTCATTGATTCATGGATAAGGTACTGTTTTTTCATCTTCAAGAATAGAGCTTTGTAGTTACTACTGACTCAGAAGGAGGGCCAGTGGGGCAACAGGATTCCTTCCAGGAAGGAATCTAGACATTCTTGTGTTCTTATTAAATCATACTGCTGAAGATCCCAGACTCTATCTTGTGCCCTGACTCGTGTCCCCAGCAGCAGTGAGCCAGAGAGGCATAATACAGACTGAGACATAATCTCACCCATTTCATCTGACCACTTCACTCCTCTTTTTCTTTCTTTACTTGCTGGTCCTGTTTAGTTATCTTCTGATTTATTTACCGTGCCAGATAGCTGCATCTTTTTGCAGAGACTTGTTGATATTGTGCTTTACGGGACAGCATCCCCATGAGATTTGTAAAGTCCACTGTATTTTCTCCTTTCTCACCCCATGCTTGTTTGAGGTTTCCTAGAAGAAATTGCAAATTCTGAAGGAAGGAGTACAGTAGCAAGTGGCTGCCATTCATCTCTTTGTGCAGCTGTTGAAGCATTTCATGATCATTATTCAGAGCTTATAGTTATGCTTTATTTCTCTTCCCTGATATCTCTCTACCCCTTCCAACCCCACTGTTTGTCACCTTATCACTTTTTGCCTTAGATAGCCCAACAGGAGAAGCTGTGTCGCTCTGAGTGGTAGTACAGCATAAATAATTTTTTTCCTAAAAATGTAAATGCCACTGTGCTTTGCTTCAGTGTGCACAACATTAAATAGTAATTGTTGTTAGTGGCAATTTGTAGTGTTTAAGAGTCTTGCCTATTCAGTCTCTGTCATGCTGGGTTTTTGTGCTGAATGACTGATTGTTGCACCACTTTTTCTTTGTGAAGCACATCTGTACGCAGAAGAACTGCCTAATTTATTTCAATCTGGCATACTGGAGTAAGTCTGCTTTTAAATTGCATACTTAGTAGGTTACAAATCAGATGGCAGCATTTTCATGGTGCTAATTCTCCAGTGTACCAGGAACTGCTGACTTGAATAGGTTTTGACCACTTTTCCTTTTCAGTAAGCCTTCTGTAACTCATTTGGCTTGCTTAAATGACCTGCTCCTTATTTTCCACAGCAAGAGTTTCTCTCATTTGGGAAATGTAAAAGGATAATATTCCTAGCCCAAGCAGAAGCAAAATGTACCACTGCCATCTGGGCTGTGAAATTGGAATAAAGCTGAAAGCGTTACCTCAGTATATAGCCATGGCTGGAAGCCAGGTGACAGATAATAAAAGGATGGTGTGTTAGTTGGCATGTTAGTCAGGATCTTGGGATGTGCTTGTTGTGCTTCAAATCTCCAAGAATGTGGGCAGGTTGGAAATTATTTATCTCACCTAATACTGTTTATCTGCATGTTATGTATCTACTGAGCTAATTGTCTCAGCTCATCCACTGTGAGTGGATAGGCAATTCCAGAGGGCATGGGGTCATTCCACATCACTTAGCTCCACATTTTACACTAGGATGAATAACCCTGTGGAGAAACTTGTCTCTCTGTGTAGACATCACAAAAAGACAGTAGCTGATGGCCTTATTCCAGGTACATAACTTTCAGATGCTTGAGATACAGCAAATGAGTCTTCTCTTTCTCTCATGCAGCTGCCTTCAGTTGTGTAGCAGTCCTTTCCTGCCTCACAGGTACACAGAGACTGAACAGTGCTACTGTTCTTACAAAGTGTTTACTGTGAATAGAAATTACTATGTAATTATAATTATCTCTATATACATATATTTGTGACTGCCTGAGATTTGAACATCGTGCTGAAAGGGAGGGAGTTTTAGGACATGGGACCTGGAGGCTTTTGCATCCCTAGGAAATATGTAGCTGTTTCATAGCAATATTCAGTTGAACACATTAGAGAAAAAAACAAAGCTAGGACTTGAGAATACCTGACTTGTATATGAAGCTCTATAAGTCATGCTCTTTCATGGTGACTGGTTTTGTTTCTTTTTAGATTGTGATGGATTTCAAACACCCTGATGGCCATACAGTGGCAATTATGTTGCCCCGATGCAGTTTATTGGTGATGACTGGAGAATCCAGATACCTGTGGACACATGGGTATGTGTAAGAGTCCCTGCATTGCTGAAAATAGAGGAGTAATAAATTTTTGTTTGTTTGATTTTTTAAAGACGCTCTGTGTTTAAAATTGCCAGAAAGAAATCACGTCAAGTTTTATAATTTATATCCAAATTCACTCCTCTACTCAGATGCTGCTTAGGTTAAATTGAAAAACTTGGGGATTTAGGGAGCTAATTGCGAGTCCCTGAGGTGTAGTTTCCTGCTGCTGTCGTAAGTTTCAGTAGGAAATCGCTCTCACATCTGCAGTGTGAAAGTTCTCAATGACTCTGAGCTGGCAAAGAATTGATTGTAGTGCAATTAGTATCACCATTCCCTTTCTCTCTTTTCAGCCCACAACTTTCCCCATTAGATTACATATGCCAAAGGCTTGAGAGAGGGGCTTGAGAGTTTAAAAGATTGACTTCCCCTGCACTGAGAGCTTGAGGGTGGCAGAGGGGAGTCTTCCTGAGCTGTTCCCAGCTGCTTTAGGCACACTTTACTACTGGTAAGACTGCATCGAATAGCTTTGGGACGCTGCTAAGAGTATTTACTGAAATACGTCTTGAGGCTGTGCTTATTGTAGAATTTAAATACACACTTCTTAAATCATGCACCACTGGGAGATGCTTAAAATTGGAGTGCTGAAATTGGCAAAAAGGCTAAAACCTTGCTGAGCTCTGAGTGTGACAGTAATGCATTTCAGGAGCGTATGGCAACCCTGTATTGGACAGAAATGCCCATAGTAAGCATTTCTTCCTTTGTTTGACCCAAGCCATCACTGATTCAGCAGTCAATTGGAGGCACTAATTACATTCCATGTCAATTAAACACCAAATCCTTTTATTGGCAGAAAATTTTCTGCCTTTTAATTTTGCTGGTTAATATGTATTATAAAAACAGGTAAATATGAAATCCCTGATAACCTTTACAGTGTTTTAGGAACCTTTAGAGAGCTCTTATACCACCTGTATATTCCCTTGTTAAATTAAATAAAGTTGTAAAAAGCACTTGATACTTCTGAAGTGCCTCAGTATAGAAGCCCAGAGCAGTGAACTCCCTTGTTGTTGGACATACAGGACTGAATACAGATACCAGCGTTGTAATCTTCTCACGCTGTCCTGTCTAATACCGTCAGCTGCCTTTTGGAAAGGTCACATACAGCTCTGAGAACACAGTGCAGTTTCCATGCCAGTGACATTGCTGGCCAGGGAAGGCGGTGGCCAGTCCCCAACCCCAGGCATCAGGCAGCTCCATAGCCGTGCTGAGGCCAGTTTGGAGCACCAGCCCCAGGTCAGGGTAGTGGCTGTGCACAGACAGAGCTGGGCGTGCATCTGAGGCTGTAACTGGAACAAGGGCCAGGGGAACAGCCTCCATTTAAATACAGGAAAAGGAGGGCTCGCCCTTTCTGAGGCCTCAGCTTTCTCCAGGGCTACCAGCTCTGCTCCTTCAAGCCAGCCCTGGGCAGCCGCACTCCCAGGAGGCAGAAGGATACATGCTGGGCACTTACAGCACTGGCCAGCAGCCACTGAAGTTGGAATAGTGTATCTGTCTATTGAAATGTGGAATGAGATTATTACTTAACTCCCTTGTACCTTCAAGTGATTGTTGTCTTTCAAGAACCAGTGAATAAACTACATGGAAAATGAAGGTCCCAGACCTTTCTACTCATGTACAAATGGTTCCCGTGCTGGTTTTTGTCCACCTTTCCTAAATATATTTCTTCTATATGTTTTTAAAAGCAGTAGTGGGTCAAGATACTCAACTGGAGTAAGCTTTGCATGATGCCGCTGGAACGTCATATTGTAATCAAAATTAAAATCATCAGCACGAAGTTTTAACTAATTCACTTGCATACATAATGTCAAAATAGATTTAATAACATTTGTGATGCCTTTTATCTGCACTTCAGAAGTCAAATTGTAAGAGCACAAGAGTCAGTTTTGAAATTAATCTGGACATGTTTTCAGTGTGTATGCTTGGATGCCAAGGAATTAGAGACTTTCTTTTGACCCCATTAACAAAGTGCACAGGAGAAGCATTTTTGTTCAGTTCTCTGTGAAAGGGAAACACATGGTTTAGAAATAAGCTTATGCAGTGTCATCAAGGAGGACAAAAGATGTATTCTCTTTTTGACTCATAGGTGAAAGTAGAATTCTGAATTTTCTGATCAAGTTCATTAGTGATGTTTTTCATATTTGGTTGGATAACTTGGCAAAACTATATTCTTGGCACTGCAATAGTAAAATCACTCTGTGCCAAGCAAGAGGGGGTGCAGCATTTTATTTTTGACATTGGGAAGTCCTTGTAATAGTAATGAAAGGAAATGAGAGAGAGGAACAAAACCCAGGAGAGACAAGAGATGCACAGTGCAGTTGTTCACCACCCAGTGACTGATGCCCAGCCCGTCCCCCAGTTCATACACTGAGCAGGATGCTCTCTGGTGTGAAATATCCCTCTGGCCAGTTTGGGTCAGCTGCCCCGGCCATGCTGCCTCCCTGCTTCTTGTGCCCTCCTCACTGGAAGAGCATGGGAAACTGGAAAGTCCTCACTTGGACAAAGCATTACTGAGAAACAACTGCAACATCAGTGTGTCACCAACATTATTTACATACTAAATCCAAAACACAGCACTGCTGCTGTTAGCACAGATGCTTAGAAGGAAATTAACTCTATCCCAGCCAAAACCTGGACAAAAATAAATATATTTTAAAAAATATTTATTAAAAAGTACTAGACAAATAAACAATCAAACTTTGTGGAAGTAAATGGAGGGAGGGAAGGGAAATGTAATTACATGCAATTAAACAACACTTCAATTCATATTATTAGTTTATGTGTCATCTCTTTTCTCTCTGAAATTAAATAAGTTGAAAACTGAGAGGCAGAAATATGTTAAATAGGACGTTGTAATCATATTTCTCTCAGTGTAGGGATTGCCTTCTTACAAAGATGGATTGTGGTTTTTTTCTGATGCAAATGGAATTATTCCTTTACTTTGTGTTGCTTTATTTTAGGATCACACCCAGAAAATATGATGTTGTTCAAGCATCAGAACTTGGGCAAAAGGTTAGAACAATCACTGCTGATGTTGGGGATTTAACATTAAATCGAAGGGAAACAAGGACATCATTTACATTCAGGAAAGTGAGGAGAAGCCTTTGCAATTGCAGTAAGTGTCTTGAGGCAAACTTCAAGTCAAAATTGATATTTATCAACAATAGGTAGTTTTTTTTGCTTTGAGAAAATAATTTGATTCTTTTGGGTAGTTTTGGCAGTCGTCATAGCTATTCCTGGATGGTTCATAGCATTTTATATGGCTTGAATTGCTTGCATTCATGTGGTTGCTGGAGTTTCTCTATACAGGAAAGCATTTGGCTTCCTCCAGAGCCAGGCAAGTAATCTGGAGTCTTCTGTGTCATTGGCATTTCAAGTGCTTAATAATGTAACAAAATAGAAATAATTACTATTCTTCAAGTTTTTTCCTCGGTTTTGATTTTTTTTTTGTTTTTGAAGGAGCCTCTAATTTTGAGAAAATAGGTACATTAGAGAAGAAGTAGTAGTCATATCTGCTGTGACAGAGCCACGAAAAGTGCCTTAGGGCAGTAGAAATAATAATAGACAGGTGGCTTAATGAATACATGGAACTGAAGTCCATTTATGCCCTTAAAACAGAATTTCAGAGCTGAATTGCAATGATGTCGTGGTCTTTGGCATTGGGAGCTCTATCTCAGTTTTGAGAACATAAACATCATTAACATAGCAGATTAATGATCACTGCAAACAGCCTCTGGTAAATGTGGGCTGGTTACTTATTTTCAGGTCATCAAACACTTATGTAGTTTGACCTGTGTTTCAGTTTTTAAAAGATACAGGAGGATTGAAACATTTTTTGCATTTTAATATTTCACTTTTAATTTAATTTTAGTAAATATACTTAATCAAAGAGGAATTGATTTAAAATTAATACTTTTGATTTTAAATTAATACTTTGTATCTGTTGCTGTATCTAGTTTACCCATCTGTCTGTGACAGCCAGAAAGGACAGCAGAGACCAGTGCAGCCCTCATTTCCCCAGAATGAGATGGAGGCCTCAAAGCTGGAGCAAGAATATGTACACAAAGTGTATGAAGAGATTGCCACACACTTCAGCAGTACCAGGCACAGCCCATGGCCCCGAATTGTGGAGTTTCTCAGGTCCCTGCCAACAGGGTCAATAGTGGCTGATATTGGTTGTGGCAATGGGAAGTACCTTGGCATCAATGAGGATTTGTACATGGTAAGTAGTAGCTTCTGTCATTTGTTTTCACTGGTTCTGGCATTTATTCTGTCATGCACTTGCTGGAGGTTCAGGCTGGCATTGCAAGAATGCCGAGAACACAAAGCTATTTCCTGATCCAAGATCAAGTACCAATTGTCTTAAGTTTCCACTTGTATTCATTATGTGCTTTACCTTTTTCTTTTTTTCAAAGCCGCTTCTGCTTTGTAATTCAAAATATGCTAAGAAACATAGTAATGGATGCAGCAGATTGAAAAATTGTAATGGATGGTTTAGCCTTTCTTGTCATTGGTGTTGAATAAATTTATTAAAGGGTTGGGCAATTTGAATGCTTCCAATGAAATTTTCATTTGTTTGGTGAGTGGGTGAAATCTTCATGGGCAGTGCTATTTTTCATAACCTCTGTGGCCTGGTGACATGTCTCATTTGTGAATGATGTCATGTTTGGCTGTTCTACCTCTGCCTCTTTGCACAGGCCCAGTAAATATGCCAACATAAAATTCACAGGGAGCTCTCAACTTTGGTACAGATTTCTGGCCTTTCACTCCCTTTTCTTCATTTTTAGACAGTTCTGACATAATTCTTGCTCATTTTCTCTCTTTCACTGTTTCACAGTCTGTACTTGGTCCAGTTTTACGTCTCTCCCTTTCTATCAGTGAGAGATGAAGTATGTACAAATATGAACCAAAAGATAGCTTTCACTGCAAATATTTAAAAGATCCTTTTTGGGGGAAATAAAAAAGAGTCAAACTTGCCATTGTTTTAACCCAGGAGAAATCTCAGAGAAGTGTATGTTATCATATCTGCTCTCTTCTGTTCCAGCATTGTCTGTTTCTTTCACATGTTTGTCCTGTGTAACACTCTGAAATCCATCAGACTTGAAAACTCCTATGTAGGGCAAGGCATTCATTATTGATAGTAAAACTTGGAGTTGTTTGTCTTTTTCAGGAGTTTCTGTCCTGTTATTTATATTCAGCTAAAAAAGAGAAGTTGTTATTTACAATGCTGTTGGTATTAGTAAATTATCTCCCTTACCTGTTCTTATGGGCTAGAACAACATCAACCAATTAATAAGTAGGCATCTTTATGCCTGACTGCTGTAGCCCAGTTATTAATTTCAGTATGTTTCAGTCTTTTTGTCTTTCGGTCTTGACTGCTGTAAGAAAAATCAGCAAGCCTAACTAGAGAGGAGAAACATTTATTAGAGTATCATGAGGGTTGACTGCTCCTAGAATGGATCTGGTAACTTGCAGTTGTGGAGGTTTGTGGTAGACTTGTAAAGTGAAATTAATGCAAGATACTGTATTCAGAAATTGCCAGCACCAGTCTGTTTTCTAGACACAATTAACCAGCTAAGGAAAGGAATGATCACATATTGGCTGGCAGTAAAAGGAAAGCCAGATCCTCTCTGTTACTTTAGGAGTTACCTAATTTCATGTGTGTCTGCAGGAGAAATAAAAAACATTAAAAATAACAGTGAAAGGGAGGAAACTATGAAAGAAGCAGTTGAAACAGTTGAAAAATAGAATCTGGGAATTGCTTCATTCAGTTGGCCTTCCTTGACATTTTATTTTCCAGTGGTGACAACTAGTGGTTCTTAGATGGAGATAGACTATAGACTTTGCATTTGGTTGTTTTCATCTACAAGTCAGCACAGAGCCTCAGGAGGATGGACTTGACTCCTCCTTTCTACCAGATTTTTTTTTTTTTTGTAGCAGCCTAAGTGTGGTTAAAGAAAACCCTGTGTATATTGTGTTTACAGGTGTTTTTAAACTTTTTCAGGAGTTTCAGGTACCTCAAGTGCTGTTCCACCTACCATGGTTTAATCATGTAGCTGAGGGAGAGGGATTACAGAATGTTTTATGTATCAGGTGCATTGTTGGGATAAAAGGAATGGTCTCTAGATGCAGGCCATCAGTTTTCTTCCTTATTTACTCATATTTAGTTGGAAGCATAAAATCCAGGCATAACTTAGTAAATTCTATGTCTCTTTTTTGTGCACAGTGTAATGGAGCTCTGAGCCCAGGTCCTGTTGGGAAAGAAGCAATAAAGCAGTGCTGTGAAATTAGGAGTTGTGTAGGAATTGGGTAAGGCACTGTTGGCACAGCTCTGTAGCTTGGGGTGTTTTGACTCAGAAATACTGAAAACCTGAGGCAAGCATTTCCTGAAGGCAAGCAATATGCTTTTATGCTTTAAGTAGCAGAGCTATTGGTAGATCACAGCTAGGGTAGCTCTCTTGATGTTTTACTTTTCAGGTACTGTCTGAGAACATCTCCACTGCAGCCTGTGCTGTTGCAGTTGATTCAGTTTCCCTGGATGATTAAATGTGGCCTCATCTACTTGAGTATCCCGTGTGACAGTGAAATGCACAAGTCCATCTGCGCTCAGCAAAAGTGACACTGCTGTAATGGCTGCATTATTCTGACACAGTGAGAGAGCAGCAATTCCATGCCAAACAAGTTCAGATTAAGGATGTATCAGCTGGAGATGGAATCCATGTCTAATGTAGCTAGCACAAAGGCTGGAGAAATGTTGAATTTTACAGTTTCAGATTACTTTTTCTGTCTCGCCCACCTTGTTATTGTTTAAATGACAGCAAAAGAGAGACATGGTTTTAGTGTTGTTTTTCCACAATTCTCTCCTCACCCAATCTCATTTGGGGGAATTATTTTAACAGATTTTATTTAGGTGCTTTGAAGCTTAATAGTCATCTTTGTAAGCAGAGCTTTTCTTTTTATGGAACAGTGTGTTCCAGCCTTAGCCATTCCCCTGATTACCACGAGGGTTTCATTGATGTTATTGCAATGATCTCATTAATTTCTATGCACTTTAGCTTTGTCTCCTTATTTCCAGTGTTCAGGTAGGTGTGGTGATCTGTAAGTCTCTGCAGGAACATTCAAAATCCTCGCAAGGCTACAGCGTGAATGAAAAGCCATTGAAGTCTTTCAAATTTGTGGTTTACATTTTTAATTGAACTGATAAATTGCTGGGAATTTCAGTGGCAAATAACTGAAAATGCCATAGGGTAGATATGTTTTGTTTTTGTATAAAGAAATTTCTCTGCTTGACAGAGTATTGATGATTGGGAAAAAAATATGCCAATAGAAGAGCCAGAATGATTTGCTTTAATGCAGATATTCCTATTTCTGTTGTGTGTGTGTGTCATTCAGAGGTAATTGGTAACACAGTTTATATTTCACAAGACTTCTGCTCTGAGATGTGCACCTCTGTTTTCTTCATTACTGTCCCAAACTGAGATCTACTAGAACTATATAAAAATTTGATTTTTCCAGGGTGTGGGGAGGAGAAAGAGTGAGTATTTTCTGTGGTATAGTTGCATAAAGTTGAGTGGCTTTTAGTTCACTGGGTTCATGCAGATTTGGAATAGATTCCTCTCCCAAGGACTTTTTAGTAGGGAGTAAAAGCAGGAGGGACAAAACCAATTAGTAAATGTATACCTGGAGTAAGTTCACCATATCTTAGCAATTGAAGATGAGACAGATGAATCTTTCCTGCTCTTTTCTCTCAGTGAATAAGAGTCATTAAATGGGTGAAATATCTCGGAAGAGAGCTCAGAAGGAACTGGGCAAGAGCAGCACAAAACTAGAATAAAAGCTGAATTGCTCAACTTGATTCTGTTGCTCTGTCACTGAGAAATGAACTCCATGTCTTAGGCCCAGCACTTTGCTTTCAGAGATACCCTGACTACATGCAATGGAAAAGCAAAACACTACATGAAAGCAATGCTGAAAGCCTGGCTCAGATGAATTGTTTGCTGGAATGTAATTTGGTTTCTTGAGCTTCTCATGCTGTTAGTTATAGCTGAGGCTTGTCTCTGGAGAGCGACATAATTCTATGTGGTGGCTGGATTTCAGAATTAGATGTCGTTTTGTTCATCGCTCTGTAATGTGCTGAATAAATCAGGTTCCCAGATACTTACATGAACTAAGTCTACCAGGCTGAGTTAGTTATAATGAGATAACATAGAAAGAAAACATGTAGTGGTGGGTAACCTCAACCTGTCTTTACTTATCTTTTTTTCGGCATGTAAGAGGGTTTATCTTTTGCAGATTTGCAGCATAACGACAAAGCAAGCTATTTATTAGAGTTTTTTTCCCCCAGTGATCTATACCAAACCACTGCATTGAATTGATTTTATAAAATCTACTTTAGCTACTCCTTGCTGTAAAGGTGGAGGTGAAGGTGCATGGGAACATGAAGGAGCAGGATGGCATAAATGCCTATGTTATCCATTTCCAGGAAGTCAGTACAGAGCTGCTGAACACTCAGACAAGTCACAGGTGTTATATTTGTTTCTCTCTCCTTTCTCCTCCTTTATCTTGGCCCTTGTTTTTTTTTTGATTGTCTAAAGGTTTGCAGACAGGGTGTGGTATGCCAGAATGATGACATACCTTTGCCCCTTTCCTAAGTTTTGTGTTTGTTGGAGTTCTAGTTACAGACTCACTGGCCTCCATACTAATACAGATTTCCTGTCGTCAGGTAAGAGTTGGATGCAGTTAATATTTATCTTTATACACTGAAAATCAGTGCCTGAAATCCAAATGGATTTCAGTCACAGTAACTGTCAGTGGCCACTCTTGAGCTCCTGTGAGCCATTGTTTACATCACAAATAGTGGTAGAGAGATGGCTGGAGGTACTTCTCAGAAAGGGATGTGGGAATGGATGTCTGGAGCAAAATCTGAGAAGCCTGAGAAGCCAGCCTCCTTTATGGGAATTTTGAAAGGCATGGAATGACTTGCTGAGAGGTGGACTTGCTGAGGTAGACTCAGCTGAATAATCAGCCATGCTATTTGAGATATATATGAGAAATTGTAGAGTTTGAGCAAGGAATTTGATTTGGAAAGCTGAGGTATAAGAAATGATTGAGGAGAATCATAGATAATAAGAAATAGAAAGCCTAAGAACATACACATATAGCTTGACTCACCAACAGATGTACTAGATTCTTCTGGGTTTGGACGCTGGACTAATATTAATTCATCTGCCTTTCTCCACTCTTCTGGAAGAGATGCCAGCAAAGACACTAAATATCCTGTCTTGAGCATTGAAAATAGAGATGTGAACTGGCAAAAATTAAAGCTTTCCAGCTATGTTTTGAGATTAGTTTTAAATGTTTTGATTATATATTTAATTAGAGAGACAAAAACCTGTTCTCATTTAAAACAGTCCTTTGAACTCTTCTGTAGATGAAATTTCATCAAATCAAAGCTTCTTCATGCTTTAAAATTTAAAAATCAGTTAGTAATGGAATTGGGAAAAGTTGAGTTTGGGATCTCTGCCCCTTGCTATAATTATTTTCTGTACTCATAAAAACCACAGATAGACTAATTTAAGGTAGCTTTTTGCTACCTTATTGTTTTTTTAAGTGACTGAAACAAATGTATTTTGGTTTTTAATGAATGCATGTTTCTTTTAAGTCAGAAGATGCAGGAATGTGATGATTATGATTATTTTGAAATATCACCTACAGATAATTCTAGAAAGATGCTAAAGTCGCCTAGTTTCAATGCTAGGCATCTGTGGTGATTCTTTGTGTTCACCATTTATGCATATATGCATAGCACCTAGTGTCCTGTTTACATATGAAACCACATAAAGTTTTAGCCTAGAATACCTCTTGTAGAGCAGCTGTGTGTTCAAAGTGTTCTGTTTCAAGGTCTCCATTTTCACTGTGAAACAGCATCTTTTTGCTTTGGATGTACATTTGCTTTAGAAAGTATGTCAATACAAGTAAACCTGACCTCAAAATATTTGCTATAATTTAGATGCAAATGAGAACTTTGCAGTCTGGCAGTCATGCCTTTGTTCTCATTCTCAGTTTGTTGGATTTCATCAACATACATTGTAGTCCTTTTCAAGGTCATTTTGGGAATGGGGGATTATGTTCCATTATCCAGCCCATTTTCACTCTAGATGTGGAGGTCCAAAGCAGTTCCTTCTGGGAAGGCTTGCCATCAGTGGAAGCTCCAAGTTTTCTCCTTCCTCCTTCTGCCAGCAGTGAATTTGGTCCTTTGAGTTTTATTATTAAGTACTGCAAGCCAATGTCTTAATTGCAGAAGTCGTTAAAGGTACTGGTAATGAGGTGTGCAATCACTAACATGCAGGTTGTCAGAGTAATTTAAAGACACTTCAGTTGGCTGCTAGTGTAAAGTGATGGGGATTTGTTTGCATTCAGGTAAGCAAGGGTTTCCTTTTTTAATTCATAAACAGCACAATTCACTCAGTGCTTCAGTAAATGCGAGAGACCAAGGAATGAGTGTGAAGAAAGTAATGTTAGGATTGATCTTTTCAGGTCTGTTTATTGCTAATTGGCTAATATGTACATATTTGTAGGTTTTGGTGGAGGATTATCTTGTATTGTCAGGTTGGGATTTTCACAACTGTTTCATTTACTTTGGATCAAAAGTCAGGGACCTGAGTAGAAGGCAGCTCACTGGTAAGCTTTCACTGGAGCAGAATTCTGGTTTTCTTCAAAACTGTGGTGGTAGGCTGAAAGATAAAAGGATTTGAACAGATAAAATGAAAAATTATGATGGAAAATAAATATGTTTTCATTAATCATTGCAAAAGAGGTTTTTAATTTTGGTGGTGCTGTTGTCTCTTCTGGGTTGATTAAGCAGGGTGAGTTGTTTGCTATTCTTCCTGCGTCAAAGATGGTTTAGTATTCTTTCGGTGTCAGATGCAATAAACACTGTCAAGAGTAATTATTTAGGATTCTGAACCTGTTCTCCACTATCTACTTGTTGCTAGTCATTGAAAACAAATGATAAATTAATAAATTTATTATTCTGATACATGCAGAGTTTGGTATACAACCTGGTAGCAGGGCTTTGGTTTACGAATTCAGTATGCATGGCAGACACGAAAACAAGGGTGGCACGTGCCTCACTATTTCTCTCAGAAGGTGTCTTGATCAATTGTTTTTATGTAAGCCTGTAAAAAACACTTTTAGATGCTGATTTTTCAAAGATGGTAAGTTTTGTCTTACTGCCTTTGATGTGGTCACTGGGGAGGTGTAGCGGGCTGACCGCTGGATTTAAAAGGGGAAAAAAATTAATGTTTTATTAGGCATTCAGAAATGGTTCTAGGGGTCACTTCACTGAACTGTACAGAACCTTGTAAAATTATATTGAGCTTAAATTTTTTGTGGATCATGATAATGAGGGGTAAGAGAAAGACATCTGAGCACTTCCTCACACTGAAATGACAAAATCTGGGTGATGACTGAAGCTGTATGCCATACTTTAGTGATACCACCAAAGTCACTGGATAATTGTTTACACTTGTAGATCAGCTTTTGTGAGTTCACTATTTTGGTGCTTCAAATGTTGTCAAGTTAATAATGGCAGTTGAAATGAAAAGAGCATACTGAGATTAGGTCACATCTCATTTTGCTCATTTCAAGACACCTTGAATGAATTTTGAAGTAAAGTTAGGTTGAAACTTGGTCTATCTTAAGCTGGTTCAAAATGAGGGTGCTATAATGAGCTGTCTAATATCCAGTCTTTCATCTTTGTTTTCAGTCTGCATCAGGGTTGTTTTCTTTTTGTCTGTACCTGGGAACTACATACTCCTCTTTTTGTCTGTACCTGGGAACTACATACTCCTCACACTTGTGAGAAAATAACTGTGTTCCCTCAGTAGGAGACTGTGATGACTCTATTACTGTAAGCATCAAATGAAAATCATATTCCAGTCTTGTAATTATCGTCTCATGAAAAGCTTAATGAAACATTTTCTCTTCTAGGTTGGCTGTGATCGCAGCAAAAACCTGGTGGATATTTGTGGAGAAAAACATTTCCAGGCATTTGTCTGTGATGCCCTGTCAGTGCCAATCCGCAGCGGTTCCTGTGACGCCTGCATCTCTATTGCTGTCATCCACCACTTCTCCACAGCAGTAAGTCACCCCCCTCTGCTCCACTGTACTGTTGGGTGGCTGTGCAGAGCTGCTAATACTGCAATGCAAGCAAAGGCAAGAACACAATGGGAAGAAATTCAAGGTTTGCATTTGGTGTAAGCAGTCGTCAGAGCAGAGTTAAGCTACTGCTGCTTCTTAGACTTTCTGTTCACATTCTCCTCCTGCTTCTCAGATGCCCTTGCTCCCCCTGAAGCTTTGGTCCTATGTTTGGGTTTCATTTTCATGTGCTTGTAATTAATGACAGTGGAGAAGGGGGCTCTGCTTTGGGAGTCAAGACATCTATTCTTTCCTGGGTCAGATATTGGGCTCTTCGACAGATCTTGTGATTTTGTTTTTTAATCTGTGCATTGGTTGTCCATCTCCAAACAAAAGGGAGACTGCTCACCAGTCTGCTGTATCTCTAGGCTGGATAAGGTTCTCGTGGCAGGAACTGTGCCATGGTAACAAGTTTCTAGACCATCTTAGAGAGGCCCCATGGACCTTTCCATACCATAAATGTAGTGAATGTTTCCAAATCCAATTAAAAAAAAAAGTAGAAAGAACTGTGTTTTGGAGAAGGCTGACATATCTTTCTTTGTGTGGTCAGAGGACCTGTGTTTAAGCTGTAAGTCTGACTCCTTCAGCTGCAAACTTAGCCTGTGCATCATCAGGTGGGGTAGATTTGAATCTGGGATTTTAAATACTGAATCACCTTCTTCAAAAAGGTGTCTGTCTTTTCCAGGTGGGCTGAAATGTCCAAGAAATCATGCTCAGCACAGGATTATTTTCAAATGGAAAGAGATTAGTCAAATCATTGAGGCTGGAAAAGACCTTTAAGATCATCAAGTCCCACTGCTAACCCAGCACTGCCAAGTTCACCACTAAACCATGTCCCTGAGTGCCACACCTACAGGGCAATGTGGTTAAATACCTCCAGGGATGGTGAATCCACCACTGCCCTGCACAGCCTTATTCCAGTGCTTGACATGAATGATGTCTTGATGAAGAAATTGTGTTTAGGAAAATGTCTTGGCTTGCACACAGTGATGGGCTATATTATGAATGAAAATAAATAGTGGGAAAAAACACGTTCTTTTCAAGTTTTATTGTATCTTGGGTAAGGAGAAACTCCTGCCATTCCATTCTCTTGACTTCTTGTTTATGTAGCAGCTTCACACTTTTGCTTTTCCTTTCCAGGAGCGGAGACTGGCTACTATCCGGGAACTAGCTCGGCTTCTAAGACCTGGTGGAACAGCACTCATTTATGTCTGGGCAATGGAACAAGAATACAAAAACCAGAAGTCTAAATACCTTAAGGAAAAGAATGGTAGTAAAAACAAAGACAGAGAAATGAATACTGATACAGCCCAGAGACCATTTAGTGACCAAGGGCCTGATAACAGCAGCCAAGACTCAGCATGGTCTGACCAACTCCTTAATGACTTCAAGGATGAAAGCTGTGGTGCCAAGCCAGTAGCAGACTTCAGACTGCCTGTTCACACTAACAGAACTTCTTTTCACTCTCAAGATTTGCTGGTTCCCTGGCACCTGAAAAGTGGTTCAAAAAAGAAAGAGGAAAGTGTTGATACAGTGGTGGTTCCAGGTGGCTCCAAAGAATTGCAAGAACTCAGCCCTGTTTTCCACCGCTATTACCATGTGTTCTGTGAAGGGGAACTGGAAGCAGTGTGCAGATCCCTGGATTGTGTGAGGGTTCAAAAGAGTTACTATGATCAGGGAAACTGGTGTGTGATTCTAGAAAAGTTGTAGTCTGTGATGCTTCCTCTACTATCTGTAGAGTTTTCTTTGTTTTTTTACAGTGAAAGATATTTTGTGAAAGGTATTTTTAATGCAGACTGCAGCTATTGCCTCTTTTAAAATGGCAGAATAAAGATTGTGCATTGAGTTAATAACAGTGGCTAGCACTGTGTGCATATGTTAACAAAACAATGGCCAAACTCAGCTACTACCTCTGCAGTGTTTGCTTCACTTCTCTGAATTACAGTGAAGAGGATTACGTGGGAAAATACTGCCCATGCAAATCACTAAGAGCAGTGTTGAGCTTTTAAGACAGAGGGCCTAGTTCTCCCTTCTGTTACACCATTTTATATTGATGTAGCTGCAGTGTTTTCCCTGCAGTCCACAGCTAATTGGAATGGAGCTCTGGGCAGGAAAGGCAGAGCTGTTTGCTGTGTAAAATTGTGGGTGAGGGAGGAGGGAGTGATTGGCACATGAAGCAGTTAAACTGAAGAGTCAAACTGTTGCCTCAAGTTTGGTCTTGCCTCTTTTGGTGTCCGTGAGTGGTGACAGATCTCTTTCAGTTTGGAATTTACTCTCTTGGTTGTGGTAATAATTATTTCCTCAAAGGGAACTGAAAAGATATTGGGGATAGCACAGACACTTTGCTCTTCCTTGGCTCTCAAATACCCACAAGATTTCTGTAGCTCTTCATTGCAGTGTTTGTGAAAGCTCCTGTGAGATGTGAGTTCCAGCCCAGCTGGAACAGCCAGAACAGCTGTGCTACACACCTGCATTTCTACCAGTGTGCGTCTCTGTGCCTGTAGCACTGGAGCTGTGGGGGTGGGGTGACCCTGAGATTTCCCAGGGGAAAAAGGGAAAAATATTAAAGTGAAGGCAATATTGGTTCAGGTTTTCTGGTGGGTATTTTCAACCTCTAAATGTTGGCAGTGGAGTAAGTTTTGTTTAATACACTTCAGAAGAGCAAAGGACTTGAGTAGGGGGGAACTGATGCTGGGCTGACTGACTCAGAGCAGCTCTTTTGGCTGTGGCCTGCAAGGACTAGTGCAATTTATTTGATACAACTCTTGTGCTACCAAAGGAGTGTGACACCTGGAATGCATCTCTGAAGCTAAAATAATGGGCTGGCTTTTGTGGGATGAATGGCTGTTGGTGCCTCTGGAAACCAGTGCTACTAAACTATGCTGTTTATATTGATTGATCACCTGTAATTGTAGCAAGCTCAATGGTATTGGCAGGTCGTGCTGCTGTAAATAATGGCATACAAACCAAAGTGCCCATCTTAAATCATGTGGGGACTTCAGGGACACCATGGCTTACTCCTGCTTGCCTCCCATGTGCAAGTTAAAGGCTGCTGTGCTGGCAGCCTGCTCACAGTCACCATTTCTCCTAGGCTCCCACCTTGTAATGGAGAAAAAATCCAAGGGCAACAAGGGCAGTAAGAGAGGAGCTTGCTGCCACCACAATTCACCTGGCCTGTGCTTTGTGTGCTGTCTGTTTCCAAAGAGCCTTGGGAAAGGTCTCATTCCTCAGCTGCACATGTAGCAGCAGCCTTGTCCTAATGATTCCTTTCCTTTGGCCAACAAAGGAAGCATGTCTGTAGCAATGAGCCCTCTTGGGCATGTTCAGGGGCTGATTTGCACATATTCAATGAATATCCCATAGCTGGAAACATGTCTTGCAGAAAGGCCTGAGCTGGCTTTAGTACTGGGACACTGTGTTTGGATGCAAGAACTCACCCCTTTCCCAGCTGGACTGTGGCACCAGAGCTAACCAGTGCTACACGATGTCAGTGTGTCACTGGTGAGAAAGGGCAGGGAGAGCCTCTGCCTGGTGTCTGGGCAGTGACTAACTCACTAACCTGGGCTCCCTATTATTTCTGATTATGTGGATTGCATTTATATAGAATAAAGGAGGAAGACACATTTCTGAAGCTCTGTGCCTGCATGGCCCTGTGTTTGCTGGTGCCTGGACTCCTGCTGAGCACACAGCAGCTGCTGTTGGGTTTCTACATTGCCTGTAGCTGCATTTTCTGTAAGAATATACAGTGTTCTGGCAAGGAACAATTACTCCTTGAAAGTCCTTCTGAAGTGCTGCCATATCATGACCTTGTGTGACAAATTAGGAATCAGTCTGCAGTTGTGCTCGATTAGTCAATGTACCCTTGTTCTGACTGAGGATAGCTCAGAGGTGCTGCCTCCAAATTCACTGCTGGCTCTGACTGCACACAGGGTTAAGCACTGCTCTAACCTGGGGCTCAAATGCATCAAGTAGACAAAGCTGGAATAATTAAATGTGGACTTTATGTAACACTGATCTATTTTTTGCAAGCCCTGTGGCTCCTGTAGAGCTTTCCTGTTTTCCCTCTGTTTCCCTGGCAGAGGCAGCATTAGGCTGGGGTCACACTTAGCATTTCTTGCCTTCTGGGCTGATTAACATCATTTATCGACTGCCATATGAATGAATCAGTCACATTCCCTCTCACCAGGTCTGCAGTGAAGCACCTGGGATATCTGAGAGGGGAGTCAAATTTTATTGTCAGTCTTTTGGAGACCATCAGTCTTCCTGCAAGGTATTCCTTTTAGCTGAGTCATAGCAGCTTTTCATACTGGGACTTGCTTTTCATCCATTTCATGCTGGCTCAGAGCAGAAAGTGTTTTTCTCCCTGTCCTAGGCAGCCCAGAACCTCCTTCCACAACCAGGACCCACTGGAACTCATCACCTAGGGTGATGAGTTCCAGTGGGTCCTGGTTCTGGAAGGAGGTTCTGGCATGGGGAGCACCAGGCTGGGCAACACTACTTGGACAGGTACACTGGGTTGAACATAATTCCTTACCAGAGAGGCTTTTCCTGGCATTTCTGAGGGCTGTGAGCCAGAGGACGGTCCCAGCGGCACGCTATCTCTTCAAAGACAATAGAAAAGTTAAAAGTACTCTGAAATCCTCTGAGGCCTGGAAATGTTATGAAATATTTCTTTGGTTAAAGTCAGAGTCTCTTCAGATGCTCCAAGAGGGATGAAGTGGTGAAGGAGAAAATGACAAGGGAGGAGGGCAGGTAGATGTTAACAAAACTTATTGCAGAGATTTACAACACAGAATTACGTGCAACCACAGCTGTCCTCTGCAGTACTCACTTGCCCCTTTTTACCTCCTGGAAGTGGTATGAGATGAAACTCTTTAAGGCCAACAGTTGGGTTTAAATGTTACAGATTTTGTGTTGCACTCTCCTGCCCTGACAAAACAAGGGCTTCAGAGCATCCCTGGGCTTAAAGCAAAGGACATGAAGTGATTTCTTGTTCCAGGGCAGGCAAGAAATGAAACCTGCAAAACATGGAGGACTTCTTTTAACTTCATAGAGGTTCTTCAGACTGATGTCCTGGTGCAGCCAAGCCCGTGACAAAAACTCCTCCAGACCTCCGAGAGGCTGGATTTCCCTGGAAGTGTTCAACTTAAGCTTAGCAGGGAGAGGTGTAGGACAGCAGATGGCAAGGGACAACATGCTGATTGCATTGCTTTTCTGAATGAGAGCCACAAATGCTGAATGGAGACCACAGCTTCTCTTAAGAGAGCTTGAAGGACTTGCCTTGGCACCATGAGCAAAAGATGAACTCTTGTACTCTCAAGAGCCCACCAAAGTCACTCAATCATGCCCTTCTTCAGCTGGATGGGAGGGAAAATTTAATGAAAGGCTCGTGAGTGGGATATCATCAGGGAGAGGTCACTTGCCCATCACCATCATGGGCCAGAGTAGAAAAAGGAGAAGTAAAACTAAATCTTAAAAACACCTTCTCCCACCCTTCCTTTCTTCCCAGTCTTAACTTTATTTCTGATCCTCTAACAACTCCTTGCAGTGACACAGAGGGGTGGGGAATAGGGATTGTGGTCACTTCATCACATGTTTCTGCAGCTGCTTCCTGTTCTCATACCAGGATTAGGAATCATCATCCTCTCACAGAAGCATTATGAATATGAAACTTCTAATTATGTAAGTACAAATACAGATGTCAGACATTCTCTGTATAAAGTGAACGTCAATGAGCACGTTTGGGGAACTGTGTGCCAGAAATAAAGGTCATGCAGCTGTCACTGCATACAGCAAATGTGCTGAGTTTTGCAAACTATTCCCCTAGCAGCACTAGGTGGATGGGGAGCCTTCCCAAACACTTAAATTATGAGAGATTTAGAGTGATATCATTTTCCATACATAACAAAATTTTCATGTTTACCAGAATCTAAAAAAACCTTTTAGTTTCAGAATTCCAGTTCTGTTACACTTGTACATATCACAGAAACACTTCCCACTTGCAAAGTGAAAATGATAATGAAATGATAAATGAAAATACTAAAGAAGATCAAAGCTACTGTCTCCAGTGTGCTTTGTTTTGTGTATTCTTCTTGCTGCTACAATTAAGGATTTCTTGTCATTATCACTTTGTGTGTCACTATGGTTTTCTATAATTTATTGTGGAGAAAAGAGGGAAAGACATTTCATTCATTATTATAAATCTCTTTTAGGTGTGTTAATGTGCTTTATATGAAGTGATCATGCTGACAACATCAGCTTTTGGACCCTAACTTTTTATGCAGATAACTTGCTCTGCCTTAACTAGTATATGTCCTCTTGGGGCAGAATCGAAATTGCATTGCTTTATCTAAACTTTCTGGAAGACCATGCCTGACATCTCAAGTGGCTGCAAATGAAACATTTTCCTTCTCTCGCCTGCCTCCTTAACAGGTATTTGCTATGGAGCTGCTTGCTGAATGCAGACAGCATGTTCTTGTGTCTGATGGTGCTCCCATCCACAAATTTCTTGGCCAAGCCACCTCACTGAACTGTAAAAGACACCTGTGTTGAAGTCTGCAACTCAGGTCAACAGCAAGACCCTGGATTGTTTTGATCTGGCTGACATAATTTTGTACAGTATTTCTGTCACATTTCTACACTTGCAGCAAGCCACCACTGGTGTGCAAATAGTGTAAAATTCTCAGAAACTTTGCCAGTATGGTAAGCTGTTTTAAAGGTATCCTTGTTTAAATTGGATGAGGGACATGGAGAGAGTGCTCTGACATGAAACTCTTCTCTACCCCTTAAGCAGGCTATGCTTATACTTTACCATAGCAAAACAGCAACCAAGGACAGCAGTACTTTTTCCTTTGATTTTATGAAAGTGGTAGCAGAAAATTCTAATTCACAAGCAAATAAGGTGGAGAGATATGTCAGTGCAATATGAGTAATTAATTTTCTCCCTGCAATGCAGAAATGCTCCGTATTATTACTTTAACATGACAAGCTTGCTTTTGTTAAAAACTGATACACTTTATCTGAAAAAAGAATAAAAAAGAAAACCAATCTTCAATCACAACAATATAGATGTATTTATTTTTAGCTATGTCTTTGTCTTATATCCCTACTGAAATTTAAAGGGAAAACTATTGAACCAAAGCACAAGTCAGTAGAATAAATCAATATGATAAATTAATTTTTATAAATCATTTTGTGCTTCTTCATGTGATGTCTTATTCAGACTCTAGATCCAAATTGAAACTGTGATTCCAAGGCCTAGAGAGAGTTTAGAAATTACTAACAATGAAAGTGGCTCACAGTGTATTGCTGACCATCCTGTCTCCTCAGATAGTTCATCTTTGATGCCTTGTGCAGAGCAGAAGATGAAGCAGCATCTTTCTTATCACATACAACTGCTCAAACACACATCAGTCCATAATGTTAGGTTCCTCATACACTTGGATGAAGTCAAAG